TGTGTGATATTTGTGCATTCATAGTTTAACTGGTGATATATGCATATGATCAGTTGAACCAGATGTACACACACACACATATATGATCAGTTGAACCAGATGTACACACACACACACACACATATACACAAATGAACAGGGAAACAATATACCCACAAACACACACATATACCACCAGTTGAACCAGACAACACACACATGATCAGTTAAACCAGATGTACACACACATATATGATCAGTTGAACCAGATGTACACACACACATATATGATCAGTTGAACCAGATGTACACACATGTGTGTGATATTTGTGCATTCATAGTTCAACTGGTGATATATGTGTGTGTACATCTGGTTCAGTTGGTGATGATGCATGCATATCTGGTTCAACTACTGATGTGTTTGTGTGTGTGTCTGGTTCAACTGGTGATATGTGTGTGTGTGTGTCTTATTCAACTGATTATGTGTGTGTGTGTGTGCCTGGTTCAGTTGGTGATGATGATGCATGTGTTTTGGTTCAGCTAATAATATGTGTGTTCTTCAATAACATTCTATATAGGCTACATTCACTGGTAGGCCTAACTTCACAAACAAAGTTTCAATAGAAATTCTGAGACTAGTGGTACATCTAACTCAAAATAAACTTTATCAACAACTTACTTACAAAACTTCCTTGTTAATCAATAAATAACAAACAGACTCACTAACTCTCACTGTCTAACTTATTAACTGAAACTGAACTGATGAATTAAGTTAATTCATTCAGTCTGGTATTTTTATATTGTGCTAATTTTCTTCATACTACAGGAACTTTCTCTAAAAACTTTTTATATGTACATATATATGTAGCAAAAAACATACATAGGGTCAAATCTAGCATGAAAAAAAACAAACGTATAAGACTCATAAGAAAAGTTTTAATTTGAATTGCCTTGGGGAAAAATTATTTAAACCTTAGGGATGCTAACAATTACAGTAAAAGTTGTTAATTTATCAAAACCTCCATAAGATACACATTAGGAATATAAACAAGATCTATACAAAGGATAAGTAAAAGTTGTCTGAATAATGAGCTTTAGTCTTAACAAACTGTGCATGTATTTCAAGAAAAGAAAAACATTATCTTATTTTATAATATTTACGATTTTTTCAGCTGCCTTGTACTAACCTCATATATTTTACACACACTACTTATAAAGCCTTAAAAAACCTTAGCCAAACACAATAACTACAGTAAAGTCTTATAAGGCATTAGTAAAAAGTAAAAAAGAAAAGAAAAATCTTAAAAACCTCAGCAAATCACAAACAGTAATAATAAATAATGCCTTAGAAAAACACAATAATCACAGTGAAGTCTTACCTCACACTCATCTTGAGATGCCAAAACTTTCTCTACAAATTCCTTCAAGGTATCTTGCAAATACTGCAACACCATATGTTTAGTAAATATATGATCATATATTTTTTACAGTATTTATAATACATATGTAGGGTTATTATAAGAAATATGTTTGTTTTCAAACTGATTTAACTGTTAAATATAGAAAAAAAAACCACTATTCAAAACACAAGATGGTGTTGTAAGGTGTTTTATCATTAGATAGGTGCTTTTACATTATTCAGTAAAAATAATGCAAAGACTAGTCCAATTTATTTATTCAATAACATTCTATGTAGGCTACATTCACTGGTAGGCCTAACTTCACAAACAAAGTTTCAACAGAAATTCTGAGACTAGTGGTACATCTAACTCAAAATAAAACTTTATCAACAACTTACTTACAATACTTCCTTGTTAATCAATCAATAACAAACATGCTGACTGACTAACTTTTAACACAATCACTGACAAACAGACTCACTAACTCTCACTGTCTAACTTATTAACTGAAACTGAACTGATGAATTAAGTTAACTCATTCAGTCTGGCATTTTTATATTGTGCTAATTTTCTTCATACTACAGGAACCTTCAACACTTAACTGAAGCCTAAACTTTCATGAAACTTCTAGACTTCACATAATCATTACCTTATGTAAAAGACTCCCTCTAGTGAAAAAATAAATAAAATGTAAAAATCCCAGTTTTAGGATCATCATCTGAATAGGTCTTAATAAAGGAATTAAAGTTCACTATTAAAATAGTTTTTAACATTGTGTAAATCCATTTTATATTTCAAGACTGCTACTATTTTTCAATTGGTTACTGATAATTGCATTAGTATATCTTAAATGATTTGTATATACCTTGACAATTTGTTTCCAGATTACAGAATTCATTGTCAAATCCTGTGTTTTTCATCAGGTTTAAAGCATGAAATACTGACCAAAAGAAAAATTCGGCATGTTGATTGATTTTTTTTTACACACACATATATATATATAACTTCTTAAATTCACTGCATCAAGCAAATTTTTATGAAATACATTATTTTTTGCCAACAATTTTTCAGCATTAAAAATACAAAAGTCTTACATAATACAGTAAGTATTTATATCTGACATTGAACGAGTTCATCTCACCTTGTCACCAAGTAGTTTCATATATGCTTCTGAAGCTTTTGTTGCAAAAGAGTTTCCACGAAAAGTCAGGTGTTGGTCATCTTAATAAAAGAATAAAGAGTTAGTCACTCTAAAAACTTTATATATACATACATCAAAAACATACATAGGGTCAAATCTAGCATCAAAAAACAACAAATAAGACTCATAAGAAAGTTTTAATTTGAATTGCTTTGGGGAAAAATTAATTATTTAAACTTTAGGGGTGCTAACAATCACAGTAAAGTTGTTAATTTATCCAGTTCATTAAACTTCACCTCATTTCCTATTCAACATTGAAATAAGTTTATTAAAACAAGTGCAGTATGCATACTTAAATAAAAAAAAACAACATTATAATTCAAAAGTTTGTTTTAGCACAAAGCTACACAATAGTCTATCCATGCCCCATTCGCAATTAAAACTCAGCTTTTAGCATTGTAAGTCTATAAACTTACCACTGACCCATTGGAGAACACAATTCAAAAGAGGGTAAAAATGAACTAATTTAATAAAGCTTTAGTGACCCAGAGAAATATTTTTTCACACTTTGGAGAAAAAGTTCCTGAAAATGTAAAATTCTGACACAGTAATTACTGTAAAGTAGAAGCTGTTTGTTAAACCGTTTTGTGAAAAATACTGAATAGTTGAGTAAATACATCACAAAGTTACTTAATATCTCTTCTTTCCAGAGTTCTTGACAAATTTTACATTAAATGAGTTTACTTCAAAAAAGTATGCACAAGAGACTACAAATTATAAAAACCCACCTACCAATTTTCTTAACGTCATCTATCACAATAGTTGAAAGGAATTCTTTTGCACTGTTTTCCTTCTGCATGATACGGACTAGTGTTACAGCAATGTCTTCCTAAAGAATTTTAATAAGACTGTTAAGACTGGACACATCTCTTGTTTTCATTAATTCTGTTCATCCATGCACACAAGATACAAATACATAATTTTAAAGACCTTGAAAGAAATATATTCATCATAGCATAAATCAAGTAACTGATCAAACTACAAACTAATTAAACATAAAAATTAACTTTGTAACACCTAGCTGGAAGGCGACCTACTCACCATGGTACAAATTTTGTATCTTATCAAAATGTGAGCCAATTATAAGTGTAAACTGAAACTTGCGGCACTCGAGACCCGGCATCTTGCTTGGTTAATTCATCTTATTTCATCTCAAATTACACCTAACCTTACTTTCAATTTCTTCAGAAAATATTAAATATCATTAAACTATGTACTCTCCCTAAATTTTTAGCTGAAAAAATTATATAACATTGAGTCAAAATTAGAGTAAATCAAATTCTGACTTTATGAGGCAACTGGCAGATCCTAAGAGATCCATAAAACATCCATTCCTGCAAGCCAAAGAAGTGTGATAGAAAACTTGTAGTATCCAAGATCCAATAATATAGTTAGTTAAAGCATTTGTCTAGCAAGAATAAAATTAAAATTTCAAGTTTTATCTGGAAGGGCTTTTATAACAGTTTTAGATAAAAAATAATATGTAAACTATCACTATTAGTAAAAAAACAAGTAAATAAAAAACATTGCATTACCTTGACAACTACATGAAGAGGGTCTAGCATCTGAATCAAAGGTTTGCTTTTGGCACTCAAAAACTAAAAGGGAATTATAATCTCAATATTATCACTTTTACAAATGTTAAGGTTTTAGATGAATTTTTAATAAAGAACAATTTTTAAAACAGAACATTTAAAGTAAGTTATAGATAGAGGTACAATTAACCATCTAAATGAAGAGAAGAAAATAAAATATAATTAATTAACCTTAGTAGACCAGTTCTGATGCTTGAAAGTTTTTAAACACTGAATTATGTTTTAATAAACAATTCCAAAGGGATGGATGTCAGATATTTGAACATATCTACACAAAATTCTGCAATTTGCTAGAGTTAATTGTGATTTGGTTTGTATTAAAAATATGTGACCAAAACAGCTTTATACTGCAAGGTAATAAAAAATTATTTTTTAAAGATTTTATTGGGTTTGTAAGAAAATCAGTTATTAAGAACGTGACTCCTGTTGTTAGTCACCACTAAACACTTTTATTCAAAAGTAAAAACATTATTTTAACAGAGCTACTTCTTTTTATACATTGATTTTGAACAGAAAATGTTTTTGAAAGTTAATAAATAGCAGAAAGACAGACTTTAAGTAACTCATAAGTGTCTGGTATATACAAATATATATACTATATGGTAATACAGGTAAAAGCTACAACTCAGACTAACATGGCTAACATCTTCTATATAATAATACAGGTAAAAGCTACAACTCAGACTAACATGGCTAACATCT